CCCATCGCCGCTTCTGATTGGTCCGCGCTGTGCTGATGGGCGGGGCTTCCCTGGGCTCCCGCGTGTGGCCCCGCCCCTTTCACCCCATTGGCTGCAGACCCGGAAGTGGGCGGGGACTCAGAGGCGGGGCCTGGAGAAGGGGACGGGGTCTCAGAGGAGCCAAAATTGGTGAATTGACACCCAGGACACCTCAAAATTTGGGAATTCCGACCCCAAAACCTCCCAAAATTTGGGTATTTCCACCCAAAATTTGGGAATTTCCACCCAAAACCCCCCCAAATTTGGGAATTCCGACCCCAAAACCCCCCAAAATTTGGGAATTTCCACCCAAAACCCCCCAAAATTTGGGAATTCCCACCCAAAACCTCCCAAAATTTGGGAATTTCCACCCAAAACCTCCCAAAATTTGGGAATTTCCACCCAAAATTTGGGAATTTCCACCCAAAACCCCCCAAAATTTGGGAATTTCCACCCAAAATTTGGGAATTTCCACCCAAAATTTGGGAATTTCCACCCAAAATTTGGGAATTTCCACCCAAAACCCCCCAAAATTTGGGAATTCTCACCTTGGGGGGGGTCCCGGGGGGATTTTGGGGGGTCCTGGGGGGGTCTCGAGGCTTTTCCCCGAAGGATGTCGATCACCTGGAGGGGGAGGGGCGGGCTCAGAGCCCCCCAAAATCCTCAAATCCCACCCCAAAATCCCCCAAATCCCCAAAATCCGACCTAAAATCCCTCAAAATGCCCCCAAAATTTCCCTTAAACTACCCAAAATCTCCCAAAATCTCCTTAAAATCCCTCAAAATCCCCTTCAAATCCCATTTAATCCCCAAAAATCCCATTTAATGACCCAAAATCCCCCAAATTGCCCAAAAAAAATCCCAAAAATCCCAAAAAAATCCCCCCAAAAATCCCCCCAAAATCACAAAAATCCCCCAAAAATCCCCCCAAAAAATCCCCCAAAAATCACAAAAAATCCCCAAAAATCCCCCAAAAAATCCCAAAAAATCCCAAAAAATCCCCTAAAAAAATCCCAAAAAA